TGAGATTGAAACGTTATTTTAACAGCTACGAATGCATTTCTTTATGTAAAATTACAAGTTAGCATAAAAATGTACGTTAGTTGATTATTTTACATAGACACGCATGCAATGGTACACATAAAAATGCACAACTGCTCTTCCTATATATTACTGTGCTGTCTTTCGAGACAATGTAAATCTTAAAGGAAAAATTACAGCAATAAAATAAATTAAACATATCCACTGAAATACTCAATAGGTTTAAGTACGCATAAAAAAATTAGCTACATTCATTCATCTTTGTCGTTCATTTTATATATTCATGCATGTTTTTGAGGTTCTATCTTTTTCTACATCATACTTGAGTTTGGAAAGAATAGTGCCAGGGCAGTTGCCATGATGCGTCGCACATTTGATGGACAAAGATGAAATACAATGTCTTCAGAAAAATACTATGCTACTTTCAACCACAGACTTAGTATTTCCAAGGATGAACTTTGATATATTGGACGTTCCAAAAGTCCCATCCAAAACTTTTTCTCGTTTAATCTCCCTATGGACTGAACTTCGTCGATTCATGTCCCTTGTTTACATAATAGAAAAACATAGCAAGTTTTTATTCCTACACAAACATCAAAAACACTGTTGAAAACTAAGGCTTTTAATTGAAGCATAATAATTTAGCCTGTTTTCTCTTTCTAGAAAAAACATCACATAGTATTTGTTTTTTAATTAATTCGAGTTGTTGAATATATTCAAACCTTTAAATCGCTGAATACTTAAATGGTCTTCTCACTGAATTTCGTTTCGGTATATTTTTCAAGAAACGAAATAAATAGCTTCAAATAAAAATTCAAACAATTAAGACGAATATCATTGAAGAGTTTTTCTGCAAAGAGACAACAAGTTAAATTTTTATATTTTGTTGAAAGATCTCAGCTTTGAACAGTGCTTTTAAAGTTTGTCTGTAGAAATAAAAACTGTATTTATTTATCTATTACACAACACAAAATGAATCGATGAAGTTCAGTTCGTAGTGGAATGAAATGAAAAAAACTTTCAAGAAGGAACTATTGAGATACTTGGTACAGTGGTTGCTATGAAGAGTAAGCTCTTGCACATTTGAGAATCGTTCAAAATTATGAAAAAACATGTTGCTTCTGACTATTCCTAGGTTTGACTTCATCACCATCGAAAATTCCAGGAACTTTTAGTGTAAATTTCGAATTCTATTCTTGACTTTTATGTAAAGTATAAGAGATTATTAAGCAAAGACTAGTAAATCATACAACTTTTAGACATAATAATAGCATTTAAATGACCACAAAACTCCGAACAAAAGCACTCAGTGATCATAAAATGGTCAAAATGGTTCGTTTAAGACTCGAAATGCATTTTAATGGCCATTTTTCCATTATTCTTCTGATTCGGAAATAGTTGTCTCGACGCTGTTGGAAAGAAATCATAAAATGATATTGTCGAATATTTGGTTAAGTGAAAAAAATCAACTTCATCGATTCTCACCACTTTTTTTTCTACAACTATATAAATTCTGAATCATATTAAAGCAGTTGACTCATCAAAACACTCACTCAATACTCACCGGATGCGTCTGTGTCTGTTGATTTCGCTAATACGTGCATCGCGGTCATAGCTGATGACAATTGTTCACCACTGTCTTCACTTTCTTCTACCAAATGTACAATGTTTAGACCACCAGGATGATTCAATACATTCGCCACTACACGCAATTCAGTACCCGGAGTCAACAACACTTCATCTTCACTGGGATAATTTGTGTAACCAGAAACACACTTGCCATGTACAGCTTCGATCAAGAAAATAGTCGATCTTGTTTCAGAAGCTAAAAAGTCCTTGATGACATCAATCGACAATGAACACGAAGTTATAGTCCACCAGGTCAATTTTTCGTTCTTCTTTAAATTGTTACCAATGTCACCAACCACACCCCGCCAAATATTTGCTTTCACAGTGGGTAATTTGGCAAGTGCTGTATCAAGTAGTTTTAGATAGGGGAACCAGGGCTTCAGGGCTGGTCGGTCTTCAGATCGTAGCGCTTGATTCAATATTCGGTAGAAACTATTATCACCTCCTTCCATCGTGTATAAATACACAGCAGCTGATTCATCACGAGTAAGACCATGTTCCGATGGAAAATGGCAATATCTTTTAGCCGCTTTCAAGGAACGATCTAACTGATCGATGCGAGATTCGATTGGCTTCAAAGCATGTTCAAGTGGAACGAGTTTTTCACTCCAATAGCCGCATATAGGTGGGAGTTTCTTATTATCAAACTCAGAGTCGACAAATCGGCTTGTTGTATGTAGTGTGTCTTCTGTCATGGAAGATTTTGCTAAAATAACAGTGTCGAGAAACTTAACGCAAAGTACAAAAATGTTTTGTACCGACCGATGAATATGACGACATGTGATAAAAAAAATATTGTTATTGCGACGATTCTGTTTCTTTTTTTCTATATGCGATATAAAAAAAAATGAGGAATTGACACGGATGACAGAACACATGTTCTTCGTTCGATTGAATATTTACTTGCATATCAATGATGTCACTTATTAGTTTCATATGTGTGTGTGATGATGAATAATAGAGGGTGCCATGTTCCTGTTAAATTTATTTTAAATTTCCATTATTTGCATTTTATAATTTACTAAATTAAAAATTAAATTAAATTATTCTATTTCTTTGTAATATTTCATGTAAGAAATATATCCTATTTTTAACATCCTATTTATCTATGAAACATGTGCTATACAATATCTTCAACAACCGCTAGTAAGGAAGGTTAGTTACCGTTACGTGAGAGTGTAGATGTGCATCTTTATTTGCTTCATCACATCCACACTCTACTCTGTTTTCTCCTTGGAACAACGGCAAATGAATCGATTTTGAGAAAATATTTTGTTTTTCATTCTTTTTTTAAGAAGAATGCACGATGAGAAGCCAAATAAATTGTCCGGAATAATTTGAAATTTTTCGCGAATAGTTATTTTTAGATAAGATGGGATAAAGCAAATGATGCTTTTCTTATTCTATCTAATATCAAGTTGAACGAAGAAAAATGGAGAATAGTATTCAATAATGAAAGAAATGATGTTTCGAAAACGATGAAAATCCGTCTTCAAAGACTGTGCGATAGTTGACCTTGTATGAATGATAGGTATTGATGATCATATTAAGACGTGCACAAACATTACGAAGTGATAGAAGAACGGTTAACCGATCGAATTTGTCCAATATACGATGTACTAAATCGGCAGGTAATGTATGAAGAGATAGATTGGTGTTGCCAGATATTGTCGCTTTGTATTCGTTCTGATATGTCTTTTAATGAAGTGTATGCTTATTGACAGAGTATGTTATTTTTTAGAGCATTTTTGTGGTGGTGTAAATAACTATGAAATTACAAAAAATAGTCGCGTGAGAAGAAAAATAGATTTGCGTTTCTTCATCAGTAATTAAAAAAGAAAGAAAAACACATGACAAATCGTTTGAAGAGAATGAAAAAATACGGGAAAATATGTAAGCATAGTCATTGAGAAAATTATCAATATCGAAATAATTCAGATGCGATAGTAGGGTATGGGTGTAGGTGGAAGTGTTCTCTTCATCCACATTCTACACCCACGAGCTGCAAGTGACATAAGGCCCATAGCTGATCTAAATATTTCGTATTCTTCTTCCAAAATTCGATAGGCTTATAAGTAATAGGAGATACTATGTATAATCGACGAATTCTATTTATTAGATTAAGAGAAACAAAAAAAAAACAATTGATGAAGCAGGGTGTATGGGTGGGAGGTAAGAGTGCGGGGCGAGAGTGCGGGGCGAGAGTGTTTGATGAGGGTGTAGATGCGGGTGTGGGTGGATATGGTTTTCAAAGTCGCTGTTGTAGCCTTTACCAACACTCACATCCATACCACCCCTCACCCACACCCACCCACACTCACCCACACCCACCCACATCCTCACCCACACCCTCACACCCACAACCACCCATACCCACATCGACCCACAGCCACACCCTTTTTTCTACTCCTCAAAGACATAGTTCGATATTGCCTCTATCGCAGTTGTTCTGAGAAACACATGAGAATAAATCAATCCGTTAGAAAACAACGTTCGTTTTTGTAACTATGCTTTTCTTTTTTTTTTTTTTTTTTGTTGATATTGTTTCATCATTAATCATTTTCATATATTTAGCAATCAAGAAAAATATTACTAAGAGGAAAAATAGGATAACTGTAATCTGACCAATATAAATACGAATTGAATCCATTTTATTGTTATTATCATTAGAATCTTTGAAAAGTAAATATGATGACTTTTGAATATTCCGGAAAAAAGAATTTATGAATCAAAATTTTCGAAGATGCTTTTAAAAAACAAATTTTCAATGACTTAAGCGAATTTTCTTTATAGGAAGATAAAAATTGTTCACGTACATTTGTAAGCACTCTTATTGCGATCATCTTATCATATATTATCAACTAAACGACATATAATTGTAGTTAGTAGCGTCTATTAAAAAAGAACCATAAACATATAATCTATATTGCTCCTTTACCTACATAAAATACTTGCAAATCATAAATAAAACAAAAACATCAGTAGTTAAAACATGAAAGAAGAAATCATACTGTCAAATAGAATATTTTCATGTTAAAAATACGTAAATTCTTCTAAAGTAAATATAAAAAGAAACAAATTGATTGATCTTCGACTTAATCATCGACTATGAAATAGAAATCTATTTTGTGATATTTTTTTATGAAAGAATGATTTGATAAGATTAATAGTAAATTCTGATCATATTAAATATTTATTACGCTTTAATAGACAATCAAGACGAAAAATATAATTACAACATATAAAAATTAGATAATATGCTGGAGTTTCATTTTGAAGATTAAGTATTGTTGGAGCATTTTTACCATTAAATAAAACTTCAACACAAAATCAGGATTTAAGATACATGTAGGTCACAGAGGACGTCTTTTCTTTTGTTTTATTAAATGAAAATCAGCAAGAAATTGATGAAATACATTTATAAATATACTTCGAAAGTTTTTCCCGGCTAAATAATATAAGAAAAAATTAACTACATGAGGTAAATCCGATAATATATCTTGTATAACGCTTGAATAAAATACATATTTATATAATAATATATCACCGTCACTAATATCTAAACATGGATGTTTCTTGAATTTTTTTCCTATATCATAAATGTTAACATAAACAAAAAATATTGTATTAGGAATATTCAATATAATTAATGATAATGTAACAGCTAGCAGCATACGTGTAATTTGTGCATTTACACGTCTTTTTGTAGCTAATATTAATTCGACTCTTGTTGTTGCTAAACTATGGGAATAACGTCGACGAAGTAATGTTTTTGATAAATTTGTTTTGAAGAAGTTTGAATCAGCCGCTTGTTTGTTAGAATCTTCAGTCATTCGCCAAGCATATCGAGTACGATGTAATACAACTACAATAACGATATTAGCAGTTGTAATAAGACCTAAAAATGAATGAGATCATGCTATTAATCCTTCAGAAGAAAATAGATTTGTCTTGAAAGGTTATGAATTCTCGGTCGTGTCGAATGACAAAATAATTTAATTAACCTATTTGTCTAACTTTTGGTAATATTTCATTTGTTTAATAATGAAAATTTCATATTATATGACTTTGATATTTTCTTGCATATCTAATCAATGGTAACTTTAGTTATTAATGAAGTTTTATTAAAATTTTAACAATTATAAATAATGATGATTTAATGATTTTCGTTTCTAACTGTAAGTTGTATGCCTAATACGATAATGAAGTTTATCATATGTACGTGGGAATATCAATGCATCTTTATATGATAGCTGTCAATTATTCAATCTGAACCATTCGCAGTTGTAGTCATTTTAGTCCACACAGACAATATTAACTTTAGTTAAGATAACTTCTCTAATAAAAATTAAGTTTTTTCTACAAAAATATTATACTATCTTTGCCAATTACGAAATATGATGCTCGCTATGAATATAAATAGTGTCTTACGTAGAGATTTCTATTTAAAAATTGAGAATTTTCATTGAAACTAATTTGCTTAAATAATATTCATTTAATTTTTAATTTAGAAAACAATCTCAATTATACTGATAAAATGGTACTAATGAATAAGTAAGATGAATATTCTTTTTATTGTTATAATTCATTTCTCATTTAGAAATCATGTAATTATCTATCTAGTAAATATTGCATAGCTGGAGATAAAATGTTATAATCTAGTACTAGTAATCATATTAATGACAAAAAAAAAATAAACAATCAAAAGTTCTTTTTTCAAAGTAGATTTCTTTTCACATATCATTTCCAATAATAGAAAAATAAAAGAACATTTTAACAGCGGAATATTCCCTCGGGTAGAGGACTTTCGAAACTGATATCATATACTTTTCTCATTAAACTTTCACTATAACTATTTTTCAAAGTTTCGAATAATAATGTTCAGTTATCATCTTTATATTACGAATTGTGTTTCGTATTATACTGTAATATGAAACTATCTTTAGTTTTTGTCCTATTCAGATTTTCGAGAGATATAATAATATCTGTTTGTCAAAGAAACTGAGACCTAGTTATATTTTCGATTATTATTTCTGATGTTCTTTGCCGAATCGATTGACTAATCAAGGAAAACTACTCCTTTTGTTGCGCCTATTTGCTTGAACCTATTATACAAAAGAAACGAAGTTCTATTGTATAATATTGATAATTGAATTGGAAATATCGACAGAGATGAATTATGTTGCGTTTGTTATCTATCGCATCCTATACAGTCTAGTTTCATACGTAATATGTTGATGAAATTAACAGAGATATAATAGATATGTTTACCTATAGGCAGAATTGAAGCAGTCAGTACATCGAAGGTAATTGGAATAGTATTTAATGTACAGGATTTAGGCTCTTTTTTTGTGTGGACTATGCCAGAATATTTAATGAATGATAAATTCACAAGCAAAAGTGTAATAATAGTACAACAAGAGATCTGATATGCTCGCTTGTTGGTTAGCCATATATGTGATTTAAGTGGATAACTAACAGCAACAGCTTTATCTCTATAAAAGAAAAATATTTGTGTTATATACTTATATTAATAAATATAAAAACAAGTGAAAATAAAAGCTTACAAGCTCATTAAAACAATTGTCCACATAGTAATTGAAATGCATGCATTCATTAATACATATAATATTTTACAAGCTGATGGAGTTAATAAAAATATCTTATGGCCATTTTTAGTTGATTGATAATTGATTTCTGCCCGAATGTATTTAAGTATAATTGATAATATATCGAAAAGTGCAAGAACACGTAAAAATATAATTGTTGTTGATTTATTTGATAATTTTGGTCGAGAAAGTATAAATAGACAAAGTAAATTAAGTAATATGCCTGGTCCAATAAGTGAACGTAAATATAATGACTTAATTGATGCAAAAGCTAAATAAGTCTGTGTAGAAAGACGAGCTTGTAATGAACAGTTATGTGTTGGTAAAAATGTTTCGTTAGTTGTGAAATTTATTGATCTAAATGATAATATTGATGATTTTATTTAGGAATAAGAATTGTTATCATGACAGAAGAAAAGCGAAAAATATATATGCAATCTTTTACTTTTTTCTATTACTTTTGTTTTGTGTTAAACATATTTGCATTAGCAATAAATAATACATAATAGATTTAAACAACTAGTTTGTTTATGATTATGAATACTTCATTTTTGTTTTTATTGGTCTTAAGTAAGAAATATATTTGTTGGTTAATCATTGTAGTTATCAATATCCTTTGTTGATCCTGTTATAGACGAATAAATATTCTTTGTCAATATGTATGTCATTAACTAACTTTTGACTGTTTTGTTTTAATAAATGGCATTATGAAGCTACTATTTATGTCACAGAAGTCTTTGTTACAACAGTGTTGATATAAGAATTTTAGTATATTTGTGAAGGCTATTATCATTATCAATAACACTGCGATAATGTTTCAATCTGTCGACTTACTTTCTTAATTGTTCATATTTAAATAAAGCATCACGAAATTCACTATGTGAATTGCAATTCTGTATGGTAGACTCATTTGTATTCCTAACTATATTCTTATTCTTAGTATAGTTTGGTTAAGTGTAAAATACTGCTTATCAATTTCTTTTAACATATAATCAGTGTTATTTCTTTCTTTTTCTGCATATTAACTTTTCTATAAGAGAATAAAACATGAATATTTTTCAAAATCAGTACTCACAGGAAAACCATAAATAGGTCAATATTTGTGTAATCAATAAATAAACTTCTTCTTGGGACATTTTTCGTGCATATGTTTTTCGATTATCATAGTTATATAGAATTGTAGAAATCGATCTTTTACGAAAAGTAAGCAGTACATTATATTATCTGCATCCATTCATTGATTTAAGTTTTAATATGAATGTTGAAAAGTGTGTAGTAATTATAACAATAAAAATAACAGGAAAAAAAAAACCAAAACATACTTTTTTCTTTGTCTATCTATGAATGAAGAAGTTATGTCGAACTATCTTTGTATGGAGCATAATCAGCAATAAAAGAGAATAGAAATATTTATCTTTTTCCTATATGTAAAAATATGAATTATTGTATCATTTATTTTTGCAATAATAATTATAATAGGAGAAACTTATGTCATTTTATATCGAACAAAAATCTTATTTTTTTCATCAACATATTATCTTGATTTTCTTGATAGCATGAATAGGAATCCATAAGATAATCACTTTATCTCACAAATAACTATTCTTTCTTATTGATAACTCATTGTAATTCAACAGAGAAGATCACAATATAGTTTACACACAAAAATTCATGAATTTATATTTCAACTTTATATAATATTAATTATAGATTGTGGTTTTGTTTCTATCAAGTTAAAGATTAAAAACAACAATCAATTTTTATCTATGTGGATGCATAGAATACAAAGCATTCTTATAGCAAACATAAATCAGCTATTATATAAATAATTTAAGTATTTCATATATTATGGAAAAAAAAGAAAGAGTAAATACCTGAACATAGATGCATCATATGTTTGATAATTAGGAATAGATTGATTGAAGAGTTCGATGTTCTCCATACCTTGAAGATGTTGATATAGTGTTATGATTAAAAAATCTAACAATATATATAGATGTAATCAATAGAATTTCTAGAATAGAAGGAAGTTCCGTCTATTCAAGTACGTCATTAAGAATACAAGTAGCAAAATAATTCATATCTATAGTGTATTATTAAATTGTGGCCGTCTGTAACATTTAGTGCTAAAATAGTTTGAAATTTGAATTCAATCAAATATTATCAATAAGAATCAACCAAAAAACAATATCTGATAAAAAGTCGAGACACGTTATTGTAGACGCTAGTAAACTGTAAAGAACTTAAACTAAAATGTTTAACAGTGATTCTACGTCTATCAAGTGTAATTTTTTCTTTTATGATAAGAAATCATGATTACCAGCTGTAATCCTCATGTTTTCCATAAATAATCATAGTTTTTTTTTCTATTTAGTCCAGCTTGTATTCAACGTCTTATTAAAGAGTTCAGCAATCGAAAATAAAAGGCGTTAGATTTCAGTGCGTGAAATCTACCGTAACTAACAAGCTTTTTAAAGATATAAAATATATAAGAGTAGACTATTTTAAAATTTTTTACAAAAAAGTCCTGCTTCTTGAAACTATATTCGCTCGGATAAGAAACATACATTTTAAGATGAAACTTTCAGGATATAATCAATACCATTAGATTTACTATTGAGAAAATTTTCAGACGGAAACTCATTATTGCAGATCGTTAATAATATCCGGCAATATGCGGAAAGTTCAATAAAATGTCTATAAATAAAAGAAAAAAATCCTCGGCGCATGAATGTGTTAAGGGTTTTCATGTTAATTATGAGCTTAAACAGAAGGTATCAACTAAAGGCATTATAAGTTAAACAGAGATGACACGCAAAAGCAAATAAAACACAAATGACAGCATTCTTCTAAGCGTTTGGTTAAATATCTTAGGATACATAAAACTACCTAAAGAAAGTAATAAAATATCAAATATTATATTTCATAATTCACATGCTCTATAAACTATCTCAAAGAGTCTCCTTAATATTAATGACAAAAAAGAAAACAGAAAATATGCCTATGGTGAAAATGAATTAATAGTGATGCTTTCATAGATAAACTAATCTATTCGTTATAGTCACGTTAATTTTTTCATCGAACGGTAGACAGAAAAGGAAGTATCTTCTCTGTAGGATTGATCACAAACAAATACGAGTATTGTTTGATAAACGTGTTCTTATATCATTTTGTATATAGAGACATTTATAAACAATATAAATTATAATTACTTACATCTACATTAATGAAACTACAACTATCTGTAGGTCCAGGCATCTGTGCAAAACTCCTGATGAAAATTAGAAAACAATAGATAAAATTTCCTTTTGAGCATATTATTTCATATAACAAGATATGCAAAATAATGAAGACGATTATCACTTAGAAATTTTTAAAGATTATAAAAAGATTTTCTTTTATGAAATAAGATAGACTAATAAATTATATAATCTGTGTTAATTTGAATAGAAATTAAAAAAAAATATTAAGAATTGAAATTGAATAGTCGATACCTGTAATAACAGTGAAAAGAGTATTTTATACTTTATATTTTGATGAGTTTATAAATCGACAGAGAAATCTTGTTGCAAAGAGTAACAGATCATTACAGTCTAATATTTATTCTACGCAATATATCATGACTTTCAAATATGAATCTCTGTCAAAAGGTTAAAATAATTAGATGTCATTCGAGTCGATGAATATTAATCTTTCCATGTTTCTCATTAGGCAATAATATCAAAATATTTAATGTAGATTTGACTTAAAGGCAAATTCTATATATTTAATTTGAATAATAAAAACTTTTATTTATTTAATATTAAACAAATTATCTCGTTTTTAAATCTAACTATAAATATGAAAAACGTTCAAGTCGAATATAATTATGATATTAAAGTTACCATTTTATTTTTAGAATCAGAAAACTATGTTACACTCATAAAAACTTTAAGAATAATTGTTTCACTGCCGTATTACTCTTGTGTCAAGCGAAAAAAAACTATCAAGAACTAAAATGTAATGAATCATAAATACCTCCATCTCTATTCATAAAATATAACGCATTCATTAGCCTAACTGTTAGTATATGTGACTTTCAAATGACCTACACTACTTAGGTGCTAAATTAGAATAGATAAAAATATAACATGAGTTGTTAACTACCTACTAATATTTATTAAATAAACAATTTACTAAGTAAAATTGTGACAAAACACACGAAAAAAAAATAATACAATTAGACTATTTACTAAAAGATTGATTAAACTATGACTACAAATAGGAGTGCTATGTTTTCTATAATTCAAATCGTATTATATATATATAGATCAGAGATGGAAAAAATCACTCCACGTCTTCTCGCGCCGCTGCTCACGCCTACGCTGCATGGATGTGAGCGTTGAGGAGTACGGTGTCACAGCTTATCGATGTTCAATGAACTTTGAGAAAATGATTGGTAGAGCAAATAGAAAAAGAGATGTGGTTGGTACGTAGGCGCAAGCAGTGGTGAGACGCGGCTTTTTTCCATCTCTGATATAGATATCATATTTTCATAGTCTGGATGTGGAAATATAGTTGTTATCTAATTCTTGAGTCGAATTCGAATTTCGATCTTCAGTTTGGTCGCTAGTTCTATGCCATTGATAATTAAGCTATTATTCTATGTGTTACATTATTAATGACTTACTGGATTGCGAATGCTTATCGAGCTTAGTTTTCTCAAATGAATTGTAAAACAAGAAAGAGATTAGAAACAGAGGCTTAGAGTCTAATTTCTGTAATCATAATAAGGAATAAAAAATATCGCCACTAACCCATATATAATATATTCTTACGTTTTTAATGAAAACATCCGATAATTTTATAGAATTGTTCGAAGCTATTATTCTTTCACATGAGTTATCACAGTTTCCAACGACAAGATAATTTTTTCCTGACTAGTAATGCTTATTTTTCAGAATCTTGACATATACTTAGCTTATCTCAAAAACTAAAATGAAGAATAATCAATAAATAACTCTTTTCACTTGATAGTTTCGACTTAATTTATTGATTGACAAATAGTCTCAAAAGAAAAAGAAACAAAAATGTTTATATATTTATTTATTTTTTTTTGCATATAAGTTTATTGTTCCACGTAGGGTTAACAGACAAAGATACATAAAAAAAATATATATGGTAAGAAGAAAGCTTGTTTTTATTACAACTTTTTTCAGCTGCCATCTTCTCCTCTAGACGCGTTACATAAATTTAAAAAAATAGGAAAATAACTATTATACGATATTCAAGGGGAAGTGAAAGAGTAGATAAAGAAAACAAGATTCATTTACAGATGAGTGTTATTAATTGAAAAATATCGAAATATTGTATTGTATTAAATATGTCACATACCTAAAAAATATTTCTTTTTCTTTAGATGATTTGCTAAAGAATTTTATACATTCGAAGGCCAATGTATTACTTAAAAATCAAATATTTCTCCTTATCCAAAATGTCACATGTAGAAAATAGGCTTCAATGACATAAATTTGAACTTAATACATATATAGCTGTGAAATATTATCTATAAGAGCGCGAGATATATGGATGATAGACAAATGCATTCTCAATAATTTGATTAATAAATATCCATGTATTGAAATGTATGCATAATTTAAATAGTAGTACATAACATATATACTTCGAAATTCTGTGCATTAATTAATATAATATGAGTACTCAATTGATTAGGTTGATATGAAAACGAATATTATCAGTTTTTATTTTTTACAGTTGAACTCAAAGAACTTTATTCTCAATAAATATCAATTATGAGATGTGAATTAATCTACATGTATTTTACGTAGCTTCTCAATATTTATTAAAACAAAATAAATTTGTCAAATATGGTCAGATTATCGATAAAGTAAGTTTTGAATTTTACAAAAAAAAAAAACACAAATGACCTTCAATAATTTAATACAGTAATGGAAAGGGATATATTTTCAAAACATGTCGAATGGCTTAGATATATTTATGTGTGACTTTTAATGTAGAATAACGTTTCTGTATAATCTGTTAATAATTCCATGGTGACTTCATTGAACATAGATGAGCGTTTATTATTGTTGCAAATTAATATCCGCGACAGAATCAACGAGGGGATGAGTCTTAACTCAATATCTCGACGACACCTACAGTTAAAGACCGACAGCTTTCAGAATACTGAAGAGAATAACTCCGGACGTCGTTATATATCATGCGATGTAAGAAGAAATGATTATGAAATTCATGATCTTGTCAAAACATTAAAAAAAAATAGATGCATATATGGTGCTTCTTTTTCAAGGGTTTTGTTAAAAGTCAAAAATATTATATATACTTATTTGATTGAATAGGTATACAATTTTGTTTTTTTCGACAGTGAGATATGACAAGATAATTATGTGAATCGTACCTGAAACTATAAATCTAAAACACATGTCAAAATCAAAATTACATCGACAAGGAATACCATTTTCATGTATTCTTGTTAGGTGATTCGCAAATATGATAAGTTTTCAAAAACAATAGGCGTCTGGAATCTTTCCCTTCCGATTACTCAAATCCGCCAGTGATTAATTATTTCCAACATCAAATTATTGAGATTACAGCCATTCCTTTTTAATTCTGACGTTTATATCAGTTTGACTTAGATTGTTTAGACAACACTCATTTGTGAATAAGAGCTAGTTTGATCATTTTATATCTATAGGTTTGTAGATCTCAATGACAAATACTTGTACTTTCAAATGTTTTCAATGTATTTCAGTTAATCAATTTCACTATTCCAAATTCCTATTTAAGTATTAAATTTGCATACAAACTTTTATTACTTCTTTATTTAATGTACTATAATAGTTATCATTCATATAAGAACTTTTCTTGACAAGCGCATTTGTCATAGAATTTCATGAAAAATCAACTCTGATGCAACCTAAT